CCTTTCTGCTCTTATGAAATCAAAGAATTATAGCACTAAGCTTTTGTAATTACTAGGTGCCTTGTTTAAGACTGGTGCAGAAATCTCAAACCTATTTTTTTGCATACCCTGTCAATTCAGATGATACTACTGCAAAGTTGGTCATTACAGATTATTTATCTCGCCAGATGTCAGCCACAGTTATCAGGATTCTGTAGAAGCTCTTGTCTGGGCTATTTGGTTCACTTTCAGATGTTTAAAGATGTGTGGCAGCTCCAAAAATGAACTTTGCAAGTGGATAACTGCAGTCATGTAAAATGTTTCAGGATTATTACAGTTAAGTTGCACTCCTTCCCAGGATTAAAAGAATCGATGCTTTTAAAGATGTGCTGTGTCTGTGGCTTTGGACTCCAAATACAGAGATAGTTGCTTATATTGCAGTATTAGGAAGCTATGGGCCAGGTTCTACCAGTGATTATAGAGCAGGGCTGCTGATCTTATTTGTAGGATCAAAAATAGAGACTGCTTCTACACAGGTGAATTTTAATAATCTTGCAGTGCTCTTTAAAAGTGAAGCAGGGTTTTAGTCTGTTTATTTATAGCCTGTTCACACTGTAGTATCTGAATGCCTTGCATGTATGTGATGCCAAGTATACTGGCTGAAACTCAGACATCAGAACAGGTGGTGCCACTGAAGGTGGTGAGTGATACAGCCTTAAAGTGTAGTGTGGCTTCTCTTTTATGTAAGAGAAATCAAAATTTAAGGGAGAGAAAGAGAAACAAGTAATCTTCTAATGCTAGTCTTGTGGTGTAATAAATATAGAGGAAAAAATAGACAACAATATTTAACTTGAAGTGATCAAATTTATTTTTCTATTTCTTCACCTGGAGTGAAATGAGAGAGGGAAGCTGGGGAACTTCCCCACAAATGTTCTTAGTTTGGGAACTTTGGGCTTCTAGGATAGGGAATTAAATTCAACAGATGTCAAGTCAAGCAAAGGTGAGTTGTTTTATCCTTCTTGTGCTATACCTGGCACCTGATCTAGGGACACCTTATTTACAAGAATTTGCTATTGATAGAATAGAAAAATCCACTGCATTCCGACCACATATGCTCCTAATAATTCTAATGCTGAAAGACTTCATGTATAAGTTACTGCTCAGCACTGCTGCCAGTATTTATGTACCTACTGTTTTATTAGTATGTAGTTTTAATTTTTTGTTTTAAAACCTAGAAAATAAGCTGTGCTGTTTAAGCATTCTGTCATAATTTTGTATAAATTCTTTTTTCGTAAAGAGTTGAAGGATTGCTGAAATTGGTAGGAGGGAATCATAAGGTTTCAAATACAGTGGCTTTGCTGCTAGCTGAAACTGCTGGGAATTTCAGGATAAAAGGTAAATGAAACCACGCAATATATAGCATCTTTTGGAACGGGGGGCGGGAGGAAATGTAATACTCACTTCCAGTGATACTTTGACAGTGTACCACCCCTCTCGTCACCTTTCTTGAAACCTAAATAAGGTCTGAAAGCTAAATGCCTCTTCATCAGCTATCTGTAATACAGCGTTTAACTCGGCCTACAGTGAGAACTAAACATGCCATAGACATGACTTGAGTTTTATTAACTGAAAATGCAGCAAATAATAATACAATTTCCCCTTATCGTCTGTAATTTATTTAGATAAACTGACATAAACTGTTCTTTAGGTGATTTTTGAGGCTCTCAAAAACATATATTTTTTTGGAAGAATTCTATGGTTATGGCCTTCTTCAAGTTCTTACTCCAGCAACAGAATATTTTTTTTTTCCTGTAACTTACAAATTAGAGGGGAAGCACTAAGGCGTATTTCTTCATGCACTCAAACTATTTGTCACCTGAAACTTGCATGAAAAGTAACATCACAGCTTTAGGTGTGTAATACTACAGAATTGCATAAGAAGACCTGAAATATTCTGAGATAATGTCAGCTAGATAAAAGTTCTATGGAACAGAAGAAACAGTGATAGAACCCTTGAAGGAATTCTGAAACACCCTGCTGAGGATTGCTTGTGTTGAAATGTAGTTTCAAAGCTGTCAGTAGTAATTATAGCATCTTAGAATTGTTTACGTTGAAAGGGATTTGTAGAGGTCACTCGGTCCAACCACTTGCTCCAAGTGTGGTCAGTTAGGGCAGGCTGTTAAGGGCATTGCCCAGTCAAGTTTTGAGTATTTTTGGTGCTGAAGTTTCATGGCCTCTCTGGCTTCCCTTTCCAATGTTCAACTACTCACCCTTCTAGAGTTCAAATTTTTTTGCTGCTCTTATACTGCTTTCCAAGCCTACTCCTGTGTTGCAGAAGCCTCTCTGTAATTCCATAGTTACTGCTTAATCTATCTGACTGCTGCCACCTTCTTCAACATGATGAGTTTGGAACAACCATCATCTCAGACAACTTTGAATATTTGACTCATGCACACACTCCCATTCCTTCCTTCACAGTGTTGTTATACAGGCTATTTTGACAAGTGTGGATCTTAAAAGGCTCTACCCATGTTCCCCGCCTCATTGAGCAATGACCTCGCAGATTTCTTGGACTCTTTTGCTTCTTATGTCCTTACAGAAGTCTGTCTTGTGCTTTGCACTATAAGCTTTACTGAGCTTTGGCTTTGCTAACTCATCCTTGTAAGCCAAAGCAATATCGTTGTATTTCTTCAGGCTGCCTATTGCTGCTTTGTTTTCTTGAGGTTGTGCTCAGACAGGAGTTTCATTTGTAATGTGTAAACTTGTTTCATGGCAAATAAGTATGGCAGATGGCTAGCATGGATGCCATACTTGCTTGCATTGCTGCAAAATGATCTCTGTGCTCTTGTGAGCAGAGTGAAACTCGAATGAGGAACTTTTTGCTCATTAGAGCAAACATTTTGGTTTTTTAACCACGATGATTTGTGTATGCATTAAGTAGTAATAGGCAGTCTCAACATGCCTATGCGAAAAATAGTTATATAACCTATTATAAACCATTGCCTAAATCAGCCTGTCATCTAAGAAAATCTTAGTGAATTAGCAAACCACGGTTTGTTTTCTATTAAAGTGACATGTTTTTTAAAAGATATGTGGATGCTGTTCAGGTCTATGTTATAAGTAGCTACTCAACAGTTTTTACTTATGTGCTAAATATTTTGCTAAGAAATGCAACTTTGAATGTGCAAATTAAAATAAAAATTTCAGCCTTGGTGTGATGTCTTCTAGTAGATAGATTTGAGTTGTATTGCATGAGCCGATTTATTTTTGACTTTTGTAATATATAGCCTTCTAAATCCCTTTTATAGTAAGGGATCATTATTTTATGCATTGATACAAACCCTGCTTAGCATTCTATTTGCATTTTATATGAAGATAGCCATTAAGAATTATTAAAAATACATGTAGGTTTTTGGACAGCTTTTTCCAAATGTGGGCAACAGCCTGTAGTTCTGAGCTTGAATTTCAGCCTCTGAGACAGCAAAAATGCTTTCTGGGTGTAAACATGTAAGTTCATCTAAGTACAAAGTATGAGTTTACTTGCTTGTTTTCTTGGACTGAGAAGAGACTCTTATTGAATAGCAACGCTACTTGTCCCAGAAGATCTTAGTTCAGAGCCTCACTTCACCTCTGCTCTTATACTCTGTTCTGCTCTTATACCTCTGCTCTACTAGTTCCAAGAACAAATAGTAGGACTTCCTTCTCTAATGCCTAGAAAAGTATAAAATACATGCAGAAGTCGAAGCAGAGGAAAAGACCTCCTCTAAGGAAGAGACAGGCAAGACGTTGAGGGTAGGGGTAGGAAGTGTAGAAACTAAAACACAGAAAAACTGTGATGCTAATTGTTATCATTGAGTCCTAGAAAGTATCCTGTTTTTGACTTTGATGTATAAAAATAAGGAAATCAACTTGCATTAAAAATCCTTAATTTTTTTTATTGTTTTGATCAAACAGATAGGAGTGTCTGCTGGTTGGATCCAGTATGAAAGATAGCTTGCAACTTTTTAAATATAAAGAGTATTGCCAATATAGTGCCATGCAAGGTCAGAAGCTAATTCCTTTTTGAAGAAAGGTAACTTCATAAGTTTTGTGTGAAACACTTGCCTCTTTCATATCAAACAGCTGAAGTGCCAGCAAAATCTGATCTGGCATTTGGAAGGACCTGGGTGTATGAAAGTAGCATTTATTTAGGATATTTAAATAAATTAATATTTTTTAATAAGTAATGTTTTGCTGTCTCTGGCTGAGCATGTAGAAATATGCTGCATTTTGTTTGACAATGATTTTCATACACTTGCAATTGATGGCACAGGAGTTTTGGAAGATGACTGCTGGGTATTTTATGTATTACAGTAGATATATGATTTTGTATGTTTATCTCCATCTTCTGAATTAGGAATTCTTGTTAGACAAAAAATTTAATTCGGAAGTGTCTTTACTGTCATAGGTAGCACATAGACTTCTCATTGGATTTAAAGCTATATGCGTTTAAATGTATAAGTCTCTCTTAGCTGCTTGGTTGCTTAGGAAAGACTGTCTGCAGAATCACTCTGCTTTGGAGAGAGATGTGTAACTTTGACTTTTTGTTTTGAAGCATTACTGCCTTCTGTTTTGGAGAGAGATGTGTGACTTTTTGTTTTGAAGCATTACTGCCTATACCTTCTCCAAAGTCTATACAAATAAACAGACTCTTGCTTTTAGGAGCTGTGAAAAGTGACAGGGTACTTGCATATCTTCAGTTGTGCACAGCTGTCAGCTACTGCTAACTCAGCACTTCAAAGCTGTATGCTCAAAATTAATGAGTTTCATGCAATGGTAAACTTAAAAGGATAAAAAAAACTTAACAGTGCATATATGCCTTGTAGGAGACAAGGGTGTCTTATACAGCTTTCAGAAGGTTTTTGTGATAGAATTTTCTCAGAACTACAAGTGCTGGAGACATTTGTGCCAATTGCATGTAGCTTTCTCTTATAGATAAAGAATTGGGAAATTTATTATGTATTTTCTTTTTTTCTAGATCTGGAAACTGAGGTGTTTTCCTGTCCATCTTGCAAATACAGAACCTAGAGAATAAAAATGGGGACTCCTGGATCGGGAAGGAAAAGAACTCCAGTGAAAGACAGGTTTTCTGCAGAAGATGAAGCTTTAAGTAACATTGCCAGAGAGGTTTGTTAATTTAAATTTGTCTTCTATTTTAAAATGTAGTTGAAAGCAAACTTAATTAACATGGTATTCAGAAAAGAATGTTTTGCTGAGTTGTGTTAAAAATACCAAAATATGACAAAATACAGTGGTTACAAATGCTCCTATTTTGTATTTCAGTAAATGTCACTTTAAAATGATACATGTTGTGTGATTTAATGTAACTCTATAGTATCACACTTCAACCTCAGCAGATATTTCTACATGTATCTATATGCTTTAAAAATAATTCAAGATGAATGAGAAATTCAATTGCTTTCCTAGTCTAAAACTGAAAAAAATGACTGTGTATCCTGTTGCACTATATAGGCTTAAAATAACCAGTGCTATCAGTTAGTGTTGAATGTGTAATAGTCATTATTAAAATGATTAAGTGGCAACAAACACATTCTATTTAAAATGGTAAAAGCACATCTGTCAAAAATAGTATATATGCTGTACCAGGGCTGCCTTAGCAGGGTCATAGCTCAAAAACAGAGAGCTGGAGCTAGCCAACTGAAAATACTATTGAGAAGTTGATTAAAAAAAAAAAAAAAAAGTGGATTTTTGCCCTACCAAATAGAATGAGACAGCTGGAATTTAGTGTCCTACAGACCTCTATTTGGACTTGAGTTTTTCTGGGAAGAAACACTGTTAAACAGAAGTCTTAGTGCTGTTTGTATAGAAAGAGATGGAGAAAATTCGAACTATGTTATCTACAAAGCTGCTTATTCTGGATGACATGAATTCAAGACTTAGGTTCTTTGTGTGTGTATGCATAAAATTTATGTTTGTATATGTTTATGTATATACATTGTAAGAGAAAATAGATTATATGTCTTTGAAAATATAGCCTCTTTTTAAGTAGCTATTACTGACTGTAAATAAAGGAAATGCTCTGTCAGCAAAAATCACTTTCATGTTTCTGATAACTTTCTACAAGTGTTGTGTTGCCACCAAGTCTAATGGAAGTTCTCACAGCACCAGCCATCTTTTGGCTGTGTGCTGTCTCCTCGAGCGTCATCTCTGTTTGAGGAAAGAATACTTAAAGCAGGAGAAGGACTCTGCCTTCAAATTTATTGCAGTTCTTCTCTGAACTCCTGTGAAGTAACATCAACTTGTGAACTAGTCAGACTAGGAAAAAGATAGTTGCAGTAAAGAGGTATAATAAGTATTATCTTAATTATTGCCATTTGGAGTGTTCTTTGTTCTCTTATGTTCCCATCCCACCTCAGCTGAAATGGAGCATCACTAAATTATTTTTTTTCCCTTAGTTTCTCTTTTCTTTTCCTTCATACTTATGAAGCTAATGGAGGTATTAGCTCATGGGGATGAACTGAGTTGTATGTGTGTGTTCCAATGATAACTATAGAGTGAAGTCTCTTTGCCTTTTCTGTCAAAAATGAACTGGAAAACAAACTGTTGAAAAACTTGTGTAATATTGAACAATGTACATAATTAAATGTGCTGGAAATTTTTTTTATGCTGCTTCATTTAGGCCCAAGACTTTTGTAGTGTCTAAGTGATAATTTTTCTGATTTTTATTATTAGAATGACTGCTTTTTCCTTTCTAATGTTTTGGCGTTTTTCTTTATTTTTTCTTTATTTTTTCATGGCCCTATAGGGAGAAGGAAATTCAACATACTAAAATAAAATTATTTCTTACCTGCATGTTTTCCTCCTCCAAGTTACATATAGCATCATATGATATTTTCCTTTGTTTTCCCATCTCCAGGTTTCAGTTGAGTAGCAAATAGAACTATGACTCTTAACTTTTCTGATGACAAATTTTTAAAAATTATGTGGAAAGTTTCTTATGATAATACCTACTACTTTCAGATCATTACCCTCTTGGCCTGTGTAGGACAAGCTGGCCACCTGATTCTGAATTGGGTAACAGCATCTCAGTTGTTTTTAATCACACCTGACTTCACTGTGCCACACCTATCCCTTATGATTTGAGAGTGGGAAAGTGTTTCTATTTTACTCTGCTGGCATACAGCAGGTCAATTCTCTGGGCACAAATATATGCAACAAGCAAACATCTCAATTTGTTAGCACTCAGATCAAACCCTCCACTATGCTGAATCTGTAATTTTAGCAATATGGCTGTTTGTCTTTGTCATCTGTGTGTTCTTCTGAAATTTCCTTTTCAGCATATGTTACTTAGCATTGCTTGAATTCTGCCTTGTAATCTACAAGTCGGGTGTCTTGTGAGGGAAGTGTCCCATCAACTAGTTCTAGTCATCAAGAAATGGTAACCAGAACATAAAGAAACACAAGATGAGCACTAACACTGCCAAAGGCTTTTAGTATAGTGTCTGAAATTCAGGACTTGTTTTTCAGCAAAAATTCAAATTTCAGAAGGCACTAATGTTGTTCTTCCTCGCCAGTCTAACTTGACAAAATTGAAATTTCTTAACTCTGCAGGATGTGCCCTCTCTTTGGTACCAACTCAGTCATCTATACTCTAGGAAACTTCAGATGAAGAAGAATACTTCGGTACTGATCCAATAAAGCTGTTTTTCTGTAGTTTGGCATTGCTTGAGCGTAATTTTACTGTTTGAAAACAGTTACCGAAAGACCAGGTCTTTATGACAGGGTCTGAAGGGCTTAGTTGATCTACCTTTTCCTTGTCACACAGCTTTAGTTTTCACTATTTATCCCCTCAGAGCACTTGTCCTCTAGTAGTTTCTTTTCTCCTTAAAGTCTTCCAGCACTGTTACATACAGAGTCCTCCTCTCTTTTGCTTTGGGAGTTGGTCAGAGACATCAGAAATCCTAAACTCTTAGGCAAGCTCTAAAGTTTCGTTTATTTTTTTTGCTAGAAAAAGCATTGTAAGATCTTGTGGCAGAGTAGGTGCATTAGAAATCACTGTAGAAAGGTATATCTGAGGAGTTTTAAGAAGCACATCTGGCATATGAATAGTGCAGTCCCAGGTCCAGGAGACTGTTAGGAGGTGAGGATGGAAAAGTACAGTATGGTAAAAGTGTGGTCATGTCAGAAGAGGACTATAGTAAGTAGGCAGAGGTGGCTCATTTCCCCACAACTGCCATCTTGTGGAAGAGGCCTTCCCCTGCCTCAGCCTCATGAGTATTGGAAGATGCAGGCTTGTAAAAGCTGCAAATCACTTGACTAGTTAGGAGCTGTACAGAGTGTTACCAGTGATGGTAGTATAATGTTTAATTGTTTTTTTTTTTTAATATATATATAGGTGAATGTTCTGTTTTTATTACAGCCTGTTTTTTATCCTTATGAAGCTTTTATCCCGAATCTGAGCTGATTAAGAAACTTCTTTTTCTCCAATATGGAAAATCAAAAACATGCTGCTATCATTGCCTGCTGAAATGTCTTCTTGCAAGCAAAGGGAAGGGGGAAAGTGTCTGTCAATGCTACGTAGTTCTGCTTACTTTTGCTTGGCACTAGCTGGAAGGAATGCTGCTACCACATTAATGCTATATTCTACCAAGGTTTTTCTAATCTATTTTTATGCATCTCCTTTGATATCTTGGTGAAGGACTATTAAAAAAAAAAATGGGAAAAACTCCTCAAAAAGGGAAGACTCTAAAGACCATAATCATAAAGAGGCATTCAAACCCAAATCTGACCTTTTCCCTCTTTCTTGTTCCTTCCTGGCCAAAGTCATCATGCTTTTTAACTAAATACTATTCCTGGAAGCTGAGGTAACAGGGTTTGAAATTTGTGAAATATTTTGGTAGAGTATATATAAAAATATGAAGGAAGAAAAAATGCAATAAACGGAGACAATTTTCTAATTCATTACAGATAGTTGTTAGAAATTTTTTAGCTGAAAATTAAGAAGTTGATAGCCTCTGTCATCTGTAATGGAAAGAGAATATTTCTGCTCACATTTTTAATAAACATATGCATCAAAATAACTTAGTATTGATTACTGCTTTTAGGTAGCTTATTTTCTTGAGGGAGAGACCTGAGTTCTCATTTGTTTATATGAAATAGAAAATTCCTCTTAGAAGCTTTTCAAATAAAACTTGTCAAAACTCACTTTTTAATAAATTGTACTATAATCAGATACTGTCGTGTTGTCGTATCATCACTGCATGTTTTTTTCTAGAGGTTGTACACCGAATGAGTGCTGTAGTGGATGATCCTTAGTTTGCTAAAAATGGTTTTTTTTTTTTTTTTTTTTTTTTTAAGCAAGGTCTAGAGGGGATAAGAAAGTTTGCTATGAGTCCCAAGCTCATGTGAGCAAGGGGTAGTGATGTCTTTAATGTTCTTCATTTCAGTCTCTTTTACTTCTACCTACCCTTACAGAGCTAGTTTAGATTTCTTTTTTTTTCCTATCACTTTCATGGCCTGAAATAGCTCCATGTTTTCCAAAAAGTTCCCTATGCGAACTTGTGCAGCAGTGCATTTCCCTTAACAGTTATCTACTGACTTGGCTTCAGCATAGTTGGGGTCTTGTCTGTGATGAGTCTGTCAGTGAAATTTGTTTCATGACTGCTTCCATGGGCTTTCTTCATTAGCACAAGACAGTGAATAGCAGCATCCAGGAGGAAAGACGTGTCCTTTGGAATAGAGTTGGATTTTTTTATTTATTTTTAAACTTTTGAATTTCAATGCCATAGTTATCAGGATTTGCATCTACTCTATTTGAGGACTACTCTTATAATTTATAGAATCATTATGGGTGGAAAAGACCTTTAAGGTCATTGAGTCCAACTGTAAGCTTATCACAACTTAGCACCCTGCCTGTTAAACCATGTCCCTGAGGGACTCGTCTCCACATTTCTTGAACACTGCCAGGGACAATTACTCCACCTCTTCCCTGGGCAGCCTGTTTCAGTGCTTGATGACTCTTTCCATGCAGAAATTTTTCCTAATATCTAACCTGAACCTCCCCAGTGCAACTTGAGGCCATTTCTTCCTGTCCTATTAGCAGTTAGTTCAGAAAAGAGACCAACCCCTGCCTCACTACAACCTCCTTTCAGGCATTTTTAGAGTGTGATACGGTAATTCAAAAGAGAAGAAGGAATGTATCATCATGGTGGCCTTTCAAATTTGTCTGATTCATTTCTTGTCCTAAATTGTGGTGAAGAAAATCTGAACTATACTTTTATCAAATTTGTCAATTTCTTTACCTTTCTGAAGATTCCTACTTTTCAGATGAGTCTAGTTGCTCAGATTAATAATTTTTGTAATACTGAATCACTAAAGGTTTTGCTCAAGCTATTCCCTAAAAATGTCCTTTTTCTTCAATTTCAGGTGTAATCCATATAACACAACTTTGTACACCCTTTTTTTCTGAATCCTATCAAGGGTTTAATGAATTGTTAGAAAGGGATTTTCCCCATTACTGTAGAAACATGGCAAACAAAAGTTTGGTCTCTAGCTGTAGGAATGAATGGTGAAATAGAAGTTGATTTTAGCTTGAGTCAATAAATGAATGAACTTTCTGTCTTTTAACAGGACGGTTAAGTCTTGCCAGAGTAAAGGCTGCTTGTGTATGTCTGGTGAGCTGCAGACAGAATGAGGCAGATTGAGTCCTTTCTCTTTCTGTGCTGGCCACCTGTGTGAAAGTTTGTCATAGAAGCTTAGGCTGGCAAACAAGTGCAGCATAGGGTGGGGAGGGAGAAAACACTTCTTGCTGCTTTGGAATTTCTCTTAGCTTAGTTCTTGCAGTCAATACATAGAAAGAGCAGTAGCTTCGTGTTCATAGAAAAGTGATTGAATAGTGGCAAGTTAGTTCTGGTGCTGATCTGAAATCACATTTTTTGAGTATGCAAAATACACAAAATAGTTTGGGTAGGAGTATTTGAGGTGAACTTCACTATTTTTAAGTAGTAAAGTTGCTTTTTGTTTGCATGCTTTCTTGCTATTCGATTGACCTTTTTTGTACCTGTAGCTTAACTGTATTTTAAATTGAGTCAAGCATTCCTTCCTTTTCCCTGAATCATAATGATGATAAACAACAAACTAGCTATTTCTGGTTGTCATTATGTGTTTTATAAGTTTCTGACGTTTTATACAAACTTTTGCAGTAACAATGGCAAAAAGCAGGAAAAAAAAGCATTCTTAATCCGCAGTCTCGTGCCTATTCTTATTCTAAGAAGTTCTATCCAATTACATGCTTTTAATGTCAGCAGTTTGAATTTTCAAGTGCTGGTGCTTCTCAAAAGTTTTTAATTTGCACTAGATAGACAAACCTATTTTTTGTGGCAAATCTGACTTCAGTGATTTAATATTTCAAGAATTTTAATAGAAAATTTTCTTGAACTTATTATCCAACATGAAACAATTGGGCTTGTATTTTCCTTAGCTTCTAGCTTTATGCCAAAAGCAAATAATTGCAGGTAATTGAGTAAATTTCAATAGCATTTGCAGTATGAAAAACAATGCCTCTTTATGTGAAGCTGAATAAGAAGGGGAAAAAATAAGCAGTAGAATTTGTGGCAGCTTTGTGGCTTTCGCAAGCAAGACCTAATGGCTTACTGAAAAGGAAGGGAGCCGTCAGTGGCCACTGAAAAGGGGGTGAGACCTCGATACCATTTAGGTCTACTTTTGGTGTTTGTAAGATCCTTCCGCAAGCCAGTTCAATTCACAAACACAGTAGAAAACTGCATTTTTGTTTTTCTCTGTTGTTTCTCCTTATGTTAGGGAGTTAAACTGGCTGGCAGCAGATTCTACATGTTAAAGTAGTACCTAAGTGGTTGAGAGTATCAGGCCCAGAGAGGAAAGGTATGCAGCCATCCTTTTGGTGGTGAGCAATTTAGTGGCTTGTTGTGCAAGCCTATTTGTTGTGCCTCTATTTGTCTTTCTCTATCGTATTTTGTCCAATAATTGATTTTTATTTTATGATTGCTAGTAGTTCCATTACCATAATGAGGAATTCCATGTCTAATTGGTATTTGCTTTTTAAAATAATTCTAAATGAGATCAGAGCCTTTCAGTGTAATATGAACAGCAGCAGTTTAAAATCTTTATTTTTTTTTACACTTTTTTAAAAAACATCTTTCTCTGGCCCAAGATCCTGCTGTTATTTACAAGTCTGTTTAATAGTATGCGTATGCCCAGACAGCAGAGTCCAAGTGCTAGAGTTGCACCTTCAGTAAGGGGAGCTGGAAGTATAGAGCCTTGAAGGAAAAAGTGAGAAAGTTGGGTTAAAGTCATCAGGATTGACATGAATATAAAATTTTTAGTCATGGTAAAATTTCTTAGCTAACTTTTTTTACAACTTTTGACTACTAATTAATTCTTTTAACTACTAATACATGTAATGACTTGGGTCTATATCTTTTCTAAAGTTTTCTTCTGAGAACTATGGCTTCTCAAGTACTTACTATGTTGTTAGAATTTTAATGCATTTCTATGAAGAGATTATTAAACTGAATACTCAAACCATTGCATGAAAGTGTATTTTAAACTTTCAGTATTTTCAATTTGCTTATAGGCAGAAGCCAGGCTGGCAGCCAAACGAGCAGCTCGAGCAGAAGCAAGAGATATACGTATGAGAGAACTGGAGAGACAGCAAAAAGAGGTAAGCTGTCACAAATTACTAAAATTCTTAATGTATAGTATTTTATTTCTATGCTTGCATTGGACTTTCTCTTTCAGTGTAGCTCAGCTATATGCTGAGGTTTTTTTTTTTTAGCATCAAACATCTGTTACTTTCTCTCTCTCCCTCCTGAAACTTCTGCTTCCTCAGAGTAACCTCTAAAAGGTAATCTGAAAGGGTAATTTACCTGTTAGTAGCATTTCACAAAATATTAAAGTGAACATTCATTTTGAGCACCATTAATAAAGATCATATAATCAAGGATCTGTTACACAAAATAGGCTGTTAACATTCTTGTTTTAGTTTGAAAAAAAAAAAGCGTGATTTTTGAAAATCTAGTTTTACAGGTAAAACTAAGTGTTTGAATGTTTTAACAAATACTTTAATTTCAACACTAACAAGCAAAATTGAACAAAAGTGAATCTAAATGTCTACCTTTAAAAATCTACCTTAAAATATTTTAAGGCCTAAGGTGTGTGTGTTGTTTTTGTTTTTACTATTACATATTTGATTTCAAGTGAACAGGAAAACACAGTAGTAATACCCATAAATAAGGCATGCACAAATAATTTTACATAGAGAAGTTTGCAACAGCTAACACACCAATGAAAGTTAATATTTATTTGGATTCATTAGATCCATTTTCCATATTTTTATAAGGAGAATGACTTATGTCAAAGTGATTTCGTTGACTGTGTTGCTCTGCAAAAGATTCATATGGATATGGGTAGCTGGCAGCAATAATGAACATGTCTGTACCTCAAAGGTACACTGTTGAGGGCAAACAACTACAAAAAAAAAGTAGGGATTTTTTTTTATTTATAATATATTATAAAAATATAATTACTAATGCTTAGTAATTGAATAATTAGGATATGTGACTTTGTGCATGGAGTTTTCGATTAGTTTCTTTTGTTATGGATCATACCAGGAATCCTGCAATGAATAAATACCTACTGTTAGGATGTGTTCATGTAAAAGAGTTTAATAGCAATCTAGTAATAGTTACACACACAACTGCATAGTATACCACCATGTCCTAAGAAAGTTTGCATTTCCTTTTTGGAACAGGAAAACTGAAAACTAGGTTTCTACCAGTCTTTGATTATATCATGGTCATTGAAATTAAATTTTGACTTGCTGTGCAAAAGCATCAGAAAATATTATTAATATTTATTGTAATTGCATTGAAAATGATGTATAGTGCTTGCTGTTTTGGTGTGATAATGAGTACAGTTCCTTTAAAAAAAATAAAAAATATAAAAAAAAGGTTACTCATTTTATGTGACTCCTTATTCCAGATCTTCAGTTTTCTAAATGCTATAGGTATTTTTCTGTGGAAGATTTATGGGAATTAAATTTATACTTCAATTTTTCTATGTGCAAATCCCATTTTGTGTGGTGACTAATTTGTGTTGTAAATGGTTTGTTTATTTTCTTTTTACATTCTGTAGTTTTCTCCGCATTCATATGATAGAAAATGGGCTCATATTCAGAAATGGATGGTAGGCTAAAACCGCCTGATGTGCATGTTTTTGACAATCAGAGAACTAACAGAGGAGTTGAAGAACATAATTTACTAATGGTTTGCATTGTGCCATTTCAAACAGGGAAAGTAAATGATTGTATATGGTTGCGGATATGGAAGATGCTTTACAAAAGCAAAAGACAAACTTTGGAGTGGGATGCTTTCCTTGTAATGAGACGCTTTCCACCATGTGTTGACTTAAAATCATAAATTATATTTAGAATGAAGCTACGTTGTTTTCAATCTAGGTAAACACATCTTTTCAGTGATAAATATTTTTAGTTTCTGCTTTTTTTTTAACATTAGTATTGGCAGACTTTATTTTTTTTTCTGTGAGTAAGGTGATAAATGCTGATTTTTCACTGATTAAATCACTTCTGTGACTTATCCTTAAATGATTGGAAGAGAAGAAAAATGCTCTGATCTTCCTTTGCCCCTTTATAATCAAATCTAGGTGACTTGCCACGTGACAGGCTCACTTATGCATTCTTTTACCACTTGCCCCTAGCTCTAATTAACATTGAGAATGTTTGGCTGTTTATTTAGATTACATCCTCTAAGTAGGAAAACATAGAGATGGATAGCTACTGATTACAATAGGGGGATTTTTTTTTTGAATTTTTATTGTGAATGTTTGAATTGAGATTTAAGTGAGACATGCCAAGACTTCACGTAGGTTAAAATGGTTAAAACTGCTGTTACAGTTAATCAGCACTTCTCTTGAGAACTTCTCTTCTCTAGAACTTCTTTAGAAATTTTATTGGCAAAAAGTTGTGCAGACTTGATACTTTATCATTGTCCACCTGGCACTCTTATGCATAGTACTTCTCTATTCTCTCTTACAGAAGTATTCTTAAGCTTTCTTTTATTTTTCTGGAGGAGTGTGCTTTTGATTGCTTTCTTTACTGTTTCCAAACCTATTAATGCCACCCACATGAATGTGGGGGAAGTTTCTGGGCAAATGTGGATTCCTTTTTTTTTTTTTGGATCAGGAGGCCTTTAACCTCTGTCTTAAATAAAGTACATATTGCAAGTGTAACTTCCTAACAGTTGGGTTTGATAGTGCTAGCTAGATAGTGCCTATCTACTTGCAATATGTACTGCACTATTTTAGCTCTTCTTGGAAAACAAGGAATGCTTAATCCCAGTTTGGTATTTCCCGTTTTTATGTCAGTAAGAGACTTGCAGGTGACTTACCAAGGGTAACCATTTACAGCAAGTTGTTTCTGAAACTCAAGTTGTGCATAATAGGAGTATATTATCACAATGCTTGGGGAACAACCAGTTCACACTGTTAGAGGAATCCTGGTTAAGCAGCCACTACAGAATCTGTAGGCAACCATTCACAAAGTGTCTATATGCAAGATGCAAAAGTTAGTAACAAACTAAATATTTGTCTCTTTAGACTTGAGGCACTTGGGAGAGACTAACATATTATGAAATTGATCTTTGTGCTAATACAAAGCTTCAGGCTTCATGACTTTGTTGAAGGCTGAGCTTTCAACTCTGAAGATTTGCTACTTAATCTTTGGAGTGCTTCATATTGTAAACTATAGCAAGAGACTAATTTTAGGAAGGATTTATAGTTTTAGCATCTATTCTGGCTTTAAAATGGATTAATTAAAAAATAAACTCTTCCTTAACATGCTTATTTCTTGTAACTAAAAATATGAGAAGCTTTGAGCAAAATGCATTTTCCCCTTAGTTTTAAATTAGCTTTGTCTTATTTCTCACAATTTCATGTTTGAAGCAAAGTGAAGTTTCCCCAATCCTTCAACTGAACTAAGGATATCAAAGAGTCTCAAATACCTGTCTGTCCAGATTTAATGAAGCTGGGGTGCTGTTTTTACTGTCACTGTAGATCTGAGCCACATAGAGAATTTACAATATACAATTGATCAATTTACTTAAGAAGCTTTGTTTTTTAAAATAAGGGAAGATATAGGGGAGATATGTATGAAGAAAGTGAGAATGAGAGTGGACTGGAAGCATCTATATTTAGGCTAAAATACTTTAAAAAATTCACGTCCTAATTTTAGTAGTTTTTTAGCAAATTTTATACTAATCTGTAGTTTTGTAAGACTTCATTTAGATTCGTGAATTTTGAGTTTTACTTCTAATTCAAAGGGTTTTTTTCTGCACTTGATACAGTTGTCAGAAAAAATGATTGTCTATTGTTAATTGTATTAAATCAATTTTATTTTCTTCTCATTATGAAGTGTGAAGTGTATGCCTATAAAAATGAGCAAAACCACAGTTCTGATGTGGATGAGTTCACTTGCTGCAGTGCATTACTCCAAATAGCTTGTGGCATTGAAAATGCTAACAGCATGTTGCACATGTTTGCTTGCTTTTATTTCATTAAAACAAAAAGAAAAGAAGTCTAAATAACTACATTTCTTCTCTCTCAGGAAGATTCAGAGAGGGCCAGGTATTCTCACCGGTCCAGTCGACATTCATACTTGGTTTGTGTTCAAACTGTATATTTTTTCCATTCCATCATGTCCTTTTAAAAATACATTTCATCTGACTTTTGATTTAATTCACCTAGGGAACATATTATGCTTAATTATCAATCTTAGTGTCAGAATTTTAAGTTGCATTTAATATTAAAATTCATCCCCATGTTTATTTCTGTCAATATTAAGATAATTTATGTACTTTCACATACTTTTAGTGAAAAAAGTCTCATGCTTTAATTCTTTGAGTTTGCATTACACATGCATGTATTTTACATACATACATACATACATATAAATAAAATATGGCTTTTCACCAGATAACAATTCTTCCTATATTTTAGAATAGGCCTGTGGTGAAAAGGAGTAGATGTTGAGGAACTGCTTGGAAATATGTCATTCAGCAATATATTATTTCAAATTACTTTAATGACATATTTTAAGTATCATTCTCCAGTGTTATTTCAACTTACATTTTTATATTTTAAATTTTTTAGAAAATGAATCATTGCACTTGCTTAGGCTTCAAATATTTTCAGATAGTAAGATTTAGTCTTGTTTTTACATGACAGGGAGTTACATCTGCCGTAAGATACTTACAGAAATTGTCATAGTGTTGTGGTTACTGCTAAACATCAAACCTCATGGTCAGATGTAAAGCTGTTAGTCTAGTTTAGGTAGTAATGCTCTAATACAAAAAAAAATCTCCCTTTCTGAATTTCCTTATTTTTCTTAGAAATAATGCAAACCAGCAAATTCTGTTTTATAAAGTAAATATTACTCATGACTCAAGTCATCCTATGATCAATGACGCCTACTGAAGATGAGTTACACTGTCTTGTGACTTTGGTTCCAAATTGCTGCTATAGTGGCTTTTCTTACACTTCAAGTACTACCAGGTGTTGGTATTGCTTGTGGAAGAAACAGAAAGAAATAGCTTAAAATACAAGGAATGGAAGATCATGCAGGGCTTAGCTCTCTGAGAAGATTGTGGA